ATCACACATTTTGTGACAGCACTTGGAATGTATATAAATAATTAAAAATAAATCGATCCGACAGATAGAATAGGTTGTAAAATACACAATAATTTGAAAGACCCTAGTTAAAGCTTTGCAGCAAATACTCAGTCAAGTTGTACAATGATGTTTGTAGTAGTAATGCTTACCTAAGTACGGAATTTTTTATAACATGCGATTTCTTCTATGTCATTTGGCAGATGATTGTATATTTTTATTCCAGAGTAAATAATAGATTCTTTAATCATGGTGGTGCGAGGGATTATCAATTTTATTTGGCCGCTCTGTCTTGTATTATATCGTGAGGATACTAGTGATAAGGACCGTATAATATTCTTATGAAGCAGAAAAGCTGTTTTCAAGATATATAAAGAAATTACAGCTGGTATACCACAATACATAACAACTGTACAAGAATTTGTTGATTTTACATGACACATATATCTCAGTTTTCTCCTCTGAAATAACTGATTACTACAGCTTCCCCAGAACGCTATTCCATTTCTCAGGTGGGACTCAAGTAGGGCGAAGTATGTTGTTCTGGCAGATGCATACCCTAATTCAGAGGCAATTGTTCTGATGACATAGCATCCAGATGTTAGCTTTTTACACATAGATATTACATAGTCATTGAACATCAACTTGTTATGGATATGCAAACCTAGGAATCTTGTTGATGTTTTATTCTCTAATATATCATCACCGATCTCCAAGTTTGGGACAATACAATGAAAAGTCAGAATATTGGTTTTCTTGATATTGAGAGAAAGTATAGGTTTAAGTCACACCAATCTTTTTTTTTTTTTTTTTTTTTTTTATTAGAAGAGAAATTGTTGCATCAACCACTAAGGGTTATTAGCAACATAACAATAGTATTATAGTGATTACATTACAGACAATAATGATTCCATTCTGATTAAGTTATCATATTTTGTTAAGTAGACCTATGTCAGAGAGAAAACCAAAAATATTCACAATATTACAGCCGTCGCCAAGAACTGTTCTCAAATCCATAGAAATGTCATGTTTCCGACGTTCTTCGAAAAACATGGGACACTCCACTAAAAAGTGTTTAACTGACATTGGTACCATACAACCATAACAAACTTTCACTTCACCTCCCGTCATTAAGTGTTCATGTGTGTACCTTGTATGTCCAGTACGCAGGCGAGTGAGTATCACCTGTTGTTTCCGTTGATGGTATGTTCTCTTCCATGGATTGATGTCATCTCTGATTTCATTCAGTTTTGTTCCCGCGTTTCTCCACTCAGATGACCAGTAGCGGTGAATGATGGATTTGATATGTAGCCTGAGGTCTTTATGTGGTACTCCTTCCTGCTCGGATATGGTTGGTTCATTCATTGTTTCGTTCGCAATTTGGTCAACTCGTTCATTACCAGGGATGCCGACATGTGAGGGAACCCACATGAATTTTAGCTCTCCAGAGGTAGAGTTGATTGAATCAATGTGGTTCTTGATGGTCTTGATCAACGGATTGTCAGAATATATTTGTTGCATGCCTTGAAGTGAACTCAGCGAGTCTGTTAGAATCAATGTTTTCTGTATTCCTTCATCAACAACAAACTTGATTGCTTGCAGAATTGCGAATAGTTCCCCACTGTAGATGCTGCATACTGGGGATAACTTGAAGCCTCTTGATGTATCTAGACTCCAGAATGCAGATGTTACTCCTTCGTTCGATTTGGATGCATCTGTGTAAATGTGTTTGTAATCTTGGTATTCATCAAGCAATGAGTAGAAATGAGTGCGAAGCAAACTATGATTTGTTTCGGACTTATGGAAGGTGGTAAGATGTAGGTTGCAGGGTGACAATGGGACGAGCCAAGGTGGCATATTGGTACTGTGGATAGGAAGTGTCATTGGAAGGTTAGAGTTAAGTTGGGCGATGTAGTTGTTTATCCTTTGGTAGAAAGGGTATGTTATTCTCTTGCGGGTTTCGTAAAGGTTTTGGAAACGGTTGGAAAATGTATTATGATATGCTGGATGGTGGCTTTCAGAGGAGACTGTTGCTGCATATCCTAGGCTCAAGTACTGCCTTCGCAATTGCAGAGGTGGTTCACCAGCTTCACAGTGCAGACTTTTGGTAGGCGTTGTTCTATATGCTCCGAGAGATAGTCTGAGAGCTGTGTTATGGACCGAGTCAATCACTTTCAGAGCTGATTTACTGGCTGAGTCATAAATCATAGAGCCATAATCGATTTTAGACCTAACCAAGGCTCTGTAGAGGAGCAGGAGTGTTTTGCTGTCGGAACCCCAGCTGAGATTGGATAACGTTCTCATTAAGTTGATTCCTCTTTGACATGCTGTTTTTAAATGATTAAGATGGGTATTCCAATTGAGTTTCTTGTCAAAAAACATTCCTAGGTAACGTATCTGATCCACCACTGGAATGTCATTCCCTTGCAGCTTCAGCTTCGGGCTACGAGCTTCTTTCTTTTTCGAGAAAAGGATGCACTTTGTTTTATCTGGACTCATTTTGAAACCAGTAACTTTCAACCAGCTCTCTATAGAGTGCACGGCTTCCTGTAAATGATTCTCAATTGTCGTGACATTTTTACCTCGTGCGTATAACACTAGGTCATCTGCATAAAGGCTAGCTTCCACAGGCTGACTGATATTTGCGACAACTTCATTTATAGCGATTAGAAATAGGGTAACGCTCAGAACTGATCCTTGGGGGGTACCATTTTCTTGGAGTTTCCTCTCGGAGAAAAAGCCGTTGACTTTGACTCTGAAAAATCTCCTTCTCAGGAAATTCTCAATAAAATACAAAAGATTGCCATTTATACCCCAAGAGCTTAGCTTACTGAGGATGTAGTACCTCCAAGTCATATCGTAGGCTTTAGTTATATCGAAAAAGATTGCTATAGTGTTTTGTTTATTGGCAAGACTTTCATGAATATACGACTCTAGGTTTATTAGATTGTCAGATGTTGAGCGACGTTTCTTGAAACCACATTGCTTTTGTGTAATCAGCCTATGTTTCTCTAAATACCATGTGACTCGATTATTGATTATTTTCTCCAGTAACTTACACATTGTGCAAGTCAGGGATATGGGTCGGTAAGATTCTGGGTCTGTCTTCGGTTTGCCATGTTTGATTATAGGCACTATAGTTGCTTCTGACCACTTTTCAGGAAAGACCCTATCGGTCCAAATTTTGTTGAAGATTTTCAAAAGAATCTTTTTCGCGCTATCTGGAGCGTTCTGGATGAATATGAAAGGGATATCATCAGGTCCTGGGCTGGAGTTATTGAAAGAGTTTAGAGCTTCTTCAAATTCTTGAGTGGATATGAGAGCGTTGATGGGAGTATTTTCATTTTCGGAATAGTGGATAGCTTGAGCTTCTTCAGTATTCTTGAAATGTAGAAATTCTGGAGCAAAATTGTGGTTGCTGGAATTCTGTTCGTACATCTCCGAGAAAGTTTTGGCAATTTCTGCGGAGTCGGTAGCCATTCTTCCTTGATATTCAAGAAGTGGTATACCATACTCCATTTTATTGCAGTTTATGCGTTTCACCCTATTCCAAACGATACTCAATGGTGTGGAGCTGCTAATGGATGACACATATTTCTCCCATGATTTCTTTCTGCTTTTCTTTATGGTCCACCGAGCTCTCGCTCTCAGGTTTTTAAATGCCATCAAATTTTCTGGAGTGTTGTGTCTCTTCAGCCTATTCAGTGCATTTTTAGAAGATTTAATTGCTTGGTCGCATTCCTGATTCCACCATGGAACAGGGGTATGGTTGTGTAACTGCCTCGTTTTTCCAATAGCTATTTGTGCCGCGTGCGTTATGATTTCTGTAAAATCCTTCACACATTCATCTATGCAATCTTTCATTTGGAATTGAAGAACTCTAGCTTCAATGACATTTGTGAAAAGGTTCCAGTCAGCTTTCTTCAATTTCCATTTTTGCGTTACATTGAAATCACCTCTGTCAGCATGTTGGGGTCTCCTGAGTAGAATGGGATAGTGGTCACTACCGTATAGATATGGTAGTATATCGAAGACGATTTGGGTGTATTGTGAGGTGTCGCATATGCTAAGATCTATAGCGCTGGAGCTTCCTGAATACAAGCTCAAACGGGTTTTTGCTCCGTTGTTGAGCAACGTCATGTTATTTTGGTCTACAACTGTTTCTAGTACACGACCTCTGGAATTCGTTGAGTCGCATCCCCATAAGGTGTTATGGCAATTGAAATCTCCTAAAATGAGTCTTGGTCTGGGAATTTGCTGAAAAAGGTCGTTCAACTCTTGATGTGTTACGTCACGATTTGGTGGGATATATATGTTGCAAATATTGATCTCTTTTGGGCCCATAATTTTAGTTGCAACTGCTTCAATATTGGTGTTCAATGAAATTTCCGTTGCACTATAGGAGTGATGTATATAGGTAGCAACGCCGCCACTTGCGATATTTTGATTTGGTCTATTTCGATGGAAGCAGGAATAGTTTTTCAAACAGTGTGAGGAATTTTGTTTGAAGTGGGTCTCTTGTAAGCATATAATGAGAGGATTTTGTTCATAAATAATTAGTTTCAACATTTCCAGCTGGGTGAAGAACCCATTCAGGTTCCATTGAATGATAGAGAGGTCTGATATAAAGTGGAGTAATTAATGGGTTTCTTGGGATGAAACGTCACTCTCAGTATCTGAGAGGAAAGCTTCTTCTGTTAATAGTTGTTTTGATAACTTCTTCTTGATTTTAGTGCATCTACTCTTGATACTCCTGTCATCGAAATGTGGATATACACTGGTTAACATATGTATTAGACCATGTATATCATTGGTATACTGTTTTGCTACACTAAGTGGGTCGCTAGATCCATATACATTTTCCAGAAAGTCTTTGAGTTGGTTGTAGTTCATGATGAAATTTTCAGAATCGATGTAAGCTTTCGCGGGTTGCATATAATAGTCGATGGGTTTAGTGTCGGCTCGTACTTTCTTAGAGATACTTGAAACTGGTTTCCGGAACATATCAGCTGATGTTTCCTCTGTTGGTGTTAATGTTTCTGTTATGGTTCTTTTGGTCGATGAGCAGCTCGAATTTGCAGGTTCAGACAGATTAGTAGGGTTTTGGCTCACGGAAGATGAGGTATCCGTTGGGTGTGCTCTTACATTTTCAGAAGCAGGTGCAATGCGTGATTCATTTTCAGGAGGGGATATAATAGGAGGTTCACTGAGTTGCTGTGGGATTTCATTTGTACATTGCGATGATATGTGGCCGGGCTTCTTACACTTAAAACAAGTGAGGTTATCCAATGATAGAAATATTCTGTAGGGAGTATTTTCATAATTGATCAGGATGGAATCTGGGATGGTGGTGTTTTCAAGAGGAGCTATAAAGACTTGTCTTCTGAAGCTCATTATGTGGGCATAGTCCGGATTTGCTATGTTGACTCTCAAGAATGTTGTTGGTGATAATAGTTTGAGGCCAATTTGTTGAAGAGACTGCTCTAGATGTGCATGAGGAATTATTGGGCATACATTGGATAAGATCAGGCGCTCAGATGGAGATATTAGTCTTCTCGCTCGTATTGTTTCATCGTTGATAGTAATTGCGCCATGCTCGTTCATGAAAGTATTTACTAAATCTGGGCTAGCAAGATATATACATATTCTGTTGTTTGATATCCTTGAAGCGAACAATATCTGTCTAGGGTTTATGAGAGTACCTAGGGCTAGGAGGTATTCATGGATTTTGATTCCTTCAATCGTAGAAAAAATTATTGCCTGTTTTTGGTCTGGGAATTTCATTGGTTGTTGCTGACTGAGGACCGTAGAATACGAAGTATTTGGTTTAGTACGTTGGTTAGAGGTAGATGTTGAGGTTTCCATCGTTGTAGATCGGTGATTCCTGTAGTCAGAAATCACCGGTTCTGATGCACTCATTTCGGTGTGTTAAGGTTTGTTGGCACGAGACATGTGTACCTGAATACGGTCCTGACCCGCGCAGATCAACGGTATCAGCAGATATACAAAAACGTGACTGGCGTCTTGGACCCCGTAGGTAAACAATAGGTTTTTGGTGTGATTTCCACTTACGAGTTCTGGTATTTTTGCACACTAATGCCACAATGCACTAAGAAAATGAGTATGACAGTTTATAAAAATTAATTTCACTTCTAATCTCGTGAAAGAGGAACTTTGTCAGGAGCTGAAACGAAAAGCTTTATTCTTTGTCGCACAGGTCCGCACTCTCCACACCAATCTTTGATTACTTTTATATCTCGTCACATTTGTGTATAATATCTCATCATTACTGTCTTGCCATAGAATAGTCGTCCGCAAATAACGTGATTTTGCCTTTTATATCAAGAAATACGGAATACCATATCATTGATATATAAAAGTATAATAAGATTGGACCTCTATATAGGACTGATCCTTTTAAGACACATCATGATTTATCTGACGCGCGGTCTCTGAGGTAGTGTTTGTTTTGACAACCTGTTGACGACCGGTCAGGTAGGTCTTGAACCATTGGAGCTTATAGTCAGTGAAGCCGTAGTGGTGCAGCTTCCGCAGCAGTATTTCGTGATTTACGCAGTCGAATGCTTTAGAGAAATCACATAATACTACCACAGCAGCTGCTCCCTTGATGTTCAGGCAATATAGAATATACCTTGTCCATATAAGAAGAGATTGCATCATTTGTGCTCTTTTTTGGCTGAAACCCAAATTGTTGATCTGTAAGTATATTATTAACCAGCTTCTCAATAATTTTAGGTAAAGTGGGTATAAGCGCAATAGGACGGTAACTATTAGGATCTAAAGAATCGCCACTTTTATAAATAGAGATAATTATTGAAGTTTTCAGCAGAGCTGGAGAAATACCCTTTCTGAAAGATTCATTGATGAGGATTACAAGTACCGATAATGCTGAGTCAGTATGCTTATAGAAAAACATTTGCGGATATCTCATCAATTCCAGCTGTATGTTCTTTCTTTATTTTCTTTATAACCGATTTCAACTCGATGATGTTAGTACTGGTTAGTTCGTATTCATTATTCATATTCTCAAGGGGGTCATTGATCATCTGTACATTGATGGTATAGTTAGGCGTTCAGCGATGGTACACTCTGTAATGTAAGTTGAGCGTATCAGGATTCATTGAAGTCGTGTGGATGTTTGATTTACCTCTGAGATCATTGATCATCCTTCAGCTTTTTTTCATTGGGTCACCAGCATTTTCGATTCTTGATCTGTAATATATTTCTTTCGCCTGTTTCGAAACTCTGCTATAAATAGTCATATACTTCAAGTAATATTCATTGAAACTCTTTCGTGAGTTTTCTTATAGTATGAAATGAGCGAATATTATTGGATGCAGAAACTCTGATGGCTAATGTTATTCATGGTTTTTTATTTTTGTGTTTTATTTTTGTATGGGAAACGCACGGCTACACAATATGAAGTTGATGATAAAATATTTCAAATTAATTATCCATATGTTTACTATAGTATACTATGCCAATTTAATTGTGTGCAGTATATAGTAGTAACATTTCTAGAATTTTTTTCAGTGAATAGACTTCCAAAATTAAAGGGCTTTTTTTGTATGTTTCTTAGGTATGGTGACGTAGGTATAATTGTGAATTAGCTCATTCATGATCAGATATACAAGGTACAACTTGTGTTATTATTCGATTGTTGATTATTTACTTTGTGATATATGTGTTAGCTTAGTTACGTGCATTCAAACATAACTTGTGATTTTTGAATAGGACATTTCAGTATTCATCGATGTTTGGATTCAGGAGATCGTTTTATACATGCATACTCGATATGTTTTTCTGAACAAAATGTCATCAGGATATGAACGGTGCATGTTCTGTTTCAAAATCAAAATTTGGGGTTGTTTCTAGTTGAACCGGAAGTGATATATTTTTTTTGTCATCAAAAGGCAATAATGACTCAGAAGTTACGGCATTGGCAGTGATTTGTGCATTTCTCTATATATACCTAAAATAGGGATTATTCGTTCCGTTTATTCATCTTGAAAATTTTTTTTGTGGTCCCTCTCTATGATAATAATGATTACTAATAGTGGAAGGTAGCCATATTCTTCCAACAAGAAAATTTTGAATATTAAATATTATGAATACCATCAGAAACATGAAGGTAGAAAATAAAAACTAAAGAGCATCATATGAATATGCATGGAACGTTTTTGTTTTCATGATGATTAATAATAATACATATCTACCGTCATTTTGGCTCAACTTCGATCTTTTTGAAGCATTAAATTCCGACCTATTGATTATTTGTTAAGAAGGTAATTTGTTGGGAAAATAAGAAATAATCACATCGTGCACCAACTCAAAAACTCACAAGCAAAGACAAAACAATAAGATGGCTGAAAGGTGGAGAATTATATCACGTGATCCATATAGGGCATAGGCATAGGGTGAATATATCAACTTACTAGGCATAATTATTGATGATGGCCTGAAGTGGACTGAACATATTGACAAGTTGAGTGCTAAACTTTCCACTCAACTGTTCTTGATAAGGCGATTAAAAAGAGTTTTGCACCCAACCATCTTATTAATGGCATATTTTTCTTTATTTCAATCTCAACTCATGGAATTCTTTTGTGGGGCAACTCAAGCCAATCAATGGGAATTTTTCGTTTGTAGAAATGAGCAGTAAGACTATATAATTGCTAATGCTGCTTATGATTCCTCATGTAAACCATTGTTCACAGAATTCAATATATGCCTCTACCGTGTTTATTCATCTACTATTATTCTGTGCTAGATATACATAAAAATAAATGGTCCTTCAAAACTCATTCTGACATCCACAACCACAACACAAGGAATGCAGAACTATACTGAGACTGCCAAAATATAAACTGACTACTTCCCAGAAAAACTCACCCAATCTACAACTATACAACAACAAACTTCCCGATTCAATAAAAACAATAAATTTACACCTTTTCAAGAATCAATCCTCAAATCACACTGCTACTACTCTATCCAAGAATACCTGGATTGTGAAAATATGTAAGATACTCACCTTCATTGTCAATGTATTTTTTTATGTGTGTGTTAGTGATGTTCTTTTTTTTGTCATTCACTCTTTTCACTTGCTGCTTTTTATTTATATAGTAGGTACCTATTTACATTAGAGTTTAAGTTATTGGTATATCCAACGATGACCTGCCATACATGTATATTCCCTAACAACACGAATCCGTCCCAGGGACGTCCTTTATTTTCTACGAGGACGTCCCTGGGATATCCTGTGTCGAGACATGGTACATACTAGGGACGTCCCAGGGACATCCGCTTTCCACAAAAAGAGGCATCCTAGAGATGTCCTTCTGGTACGTCCCTGGGATGTACCAAGTACGAAGAAAGGATATCCCTAGGACGTCCCAAGGATATCCCATTGACATTCCTTCGACAAAAGAAAAAAAATGTAGGTCGAGTACGGATTGAACCGGGACCGTTGGCTTATCAGGCACGCATCTTACTCCATTGGCTATTGAGCCTCCTGAAGATTTATGTACTAAACAGATTCATAAGGTGGATTCATGCAACATCAACTAAATTATAATGAATTTAAGATTTGAACGAATTTAAAATTAAAAATATATGGGTGTTCATGCAATAACCTTTCATCAGCTGTTTATTCTTTTCCCAGTGCGGCTAGTTATTATTTGGCGCATGCGTTGTCGTGAATTATGGAAGAAATTAATTTCTTAGTTGAATGTTGGCCATCTTTCTTAGTTTTAATTTTAGTTGTAATTCTTTAGTTTCTTGCATGAGCACCTACATTACATTTCATAGTTTTATATTATTGGTTTAAGTTTAAAATTCATTTAAGTTTTAAATTTTGCTTGCATGAATTCACCGATAAACAGGACTTAACTACAGAAACCTGAATAAATACAACTTTGTTAGGATTTGGGTATGATTATTATCATTCTTGGGTGTTTAAAAATGAGGGGCATTATGCATGTACGATTTCTGCTTGCGAAAAATTGTCATTTCCTAAGAAGTTCTGAAACTTCATTCTTTATTTTCATAACATTTATTTTCCGGAAGAGAAACAAACATTTAAAAAAAATGCAACTTAATACTTTGATGAAATTCCCCAGATAGCACAGAACCGTCCCGAAAACGTCCTCAAGTCGTATACACCTCGGGCATTGGAAACGTCCCCAGAACGTCCATTTTAGGTACGGCGTACGTTTTCAGGACGTTTTGGGGACATACGATGTTACACAACCAGAGGTCCCTAGGACGTACGATGAAGGTCCTGTTCAGGTCTGAACGGGACCATTAATACCTGGATCAACGTTGATCCACCTTTTTTCTACTCAAATAGTTAACATAGAGACCTAGATAGGTTAAAAAAATATTATTTTGACCAAAAAAAAAAAAAACAATGTGTTACTACCGGGGATCGATCCCACGACCTTCAGATTACCGTGCAGATGCTCTACCTATTACTCTACAGAAGACCTGATCATATGTCAGAGTATACAACAATATATTATGTGTGAATGTTGATTGATCCTTATTCACATCAATACTTGCATAGAATTAGATGATCATGGCAGAGAATACCTGAATAGATGTTTTGTGATCAGGTACGGCTAGTAAAAAAGAATTGTGAGAATTGTATTATGTTCATGTTTGCAAGGTTCCTAAATGAATAGATATCAGAGATCGAGGGTAGAATAAATTATGTGCAATGATTTCAATTATCATTATATATACAGTTTTATTCAATCTCGTCCCTTGAAAGTCGATAAAGTCCAGAGTTGGACGTACCCAGTACATCGTAATCGTACGTACCCAGTGCGCCCAGAAACGGACGTTTTGAGTACGTCTTGTAAAGGTCCCGGACGTTCAGACCTAAATCGGGCCTA